GTAAAGATTTACAGCCTCGGAAACCCTGTACAGGGTCGCTATGAGTCAGAACCGACTCCATGGCACATAACAAAAATTGTAGCCCTGTAGCAAACAATGCCTAAGTGAACGTGTGTGGCTGTATTCCAAGAAAACTTTATTTATGAACACTGTATTTATGGCATTTCATATTTTCACATGTCATAAAGTATTCTTTTTCTTTTTTTTACCATTAAAAAAATGTGAGAACTATTCTTAGCATGCAGAACATACAAATACAGGTTGGTGGGGCCCTGGATTTGGCTATAATTTCCTGATCCCTGATATAGACAATAGTGCTTCAAAAAGTTGATGGAAAATGTCACTGAAGATAATGGAATGTTCCCACAAACTTTTTGAAGCCCCTTTGTGTTTTCTTGTGCTCTAAAACTTGATATTTTGGAGACTGGTCCCTCAGGATCTACTGATGTGTGTATAATGCCTGCTGGTCCTTGGATGGCCCCAGTGTATCTCCTCTGTTTTTAAACTCGATTCATGCTGTCAGTTAATACTCTTGCGTATGTACTGTTGTCAATGTGCCAGCCACTCTCCCCTGGTCCAGTAACTGCTTCTAATCTTCCATGACCGTAGAAACAAAAAAGCTACACTTTGTTAAACCTGCTTGTAAAGTAAGTTAGACTGACTATGAGAGTAAAGTCTATGAATCAAAGTCATGAGCTTTAGAAATGGACTTTTCAATACGTAGTTTAATTTTGAGGAGCTGTTTCTTGGCTTGGTTTTTCATTCTTAGCCATGTCACATCTCAATGAAGTGGACAGGTTAACAGAGATTGAGGTAAGTGAAATGTCACCACATTAGTGAATTCCTGTATGTATTATAAAAGCAAATGTCGAAAGACGGCAGTTTGATGGAATTCGTCACTGAGTATGAAATTTCACTGTTACAAAATCAGAGTGCATCTTTTTTATTATTATTATAAGTAGTTAATTTGGACACAAACTTGCATTTTCGCAGGATTCATGGAGATATGAACGGTCTTCAAAAAGTTTGTGGAAAAAATGGAATTAAAAGATAATGAAAATTTTCCACAAACTTTCTGAAGGCCCCTACTATGTATTCTCTGGAACAGATGTCTCATGTCTGCCTGTTGTTCTTAAATTAGGTTTGTTATAGTCTCTTTTTCCCTCCCAAAATCTTATTTCAATAAATATTTGTAGTAAATTTCATAAAAATGTCAGCAACCCACCCACCAAGCCATTCTGCATAGAGAAATGCTCCAACTCAGAGATCCTGGGATTTTTCTCACCTCATATATCTGATGCCTAAGTCCTGTAACTTCACAGTCTCTCTCCTGTCACCTGCGTGAACACAGTACCTATAGCTGGGCTCACAAATTGACCCATTGTCTTCCCTAAAGTGCCTGTACTGTCCTTGCAGAGAAAACAAATGTTTGGCACTATTTGTGTTTTTTCCCCACCACAGATTCTGAAGTCTGTAAGTACTGGATGTCAGGCAGAAGGCAGATAAGAAGAGTAAGGCTCTGATGTTGCTGTCCCATCACTCAGACTGGTTTGTGATGTACTCACTGCTGACCTTCACTGTCTTTTCTCCTAGAATGGGACGTCAGCGCTCCACGCTGCGGTGCTCAGTGGTAATATTAAAACAGTAGCTCTGCTCCTGGAAGCTGGGGCAGACCCAGCCTTGAAAAACAAGGTACCAGCTTTGCTGTCTTGACTCCATTGGGCTCCTCTGCAAAAAGATAAGATGGTCTTCCTAAGCCAGAGAGAAGCATCTCTCTGGCTCCAATCACTACCTTCATACTTAGGAATAGAAATGGCATGTAAGGTTACTGTTGTTATTTTTGTTGTTAAGTGTCACCAAGTGAGCGCCGACTCATAGCGACCCTATGCACGATACAATGAATCACTTGCCCAGTCCTGCGCCATCTTCAAATTATTGTTATGGGTGAGCCCATTGTTGCACTTTGTCAGTCCATTTCATTGGGGGTCTTCCTCTTCTTCATTGACCTACTTTACCAACCACAGTGTCCGGGGACTGGTCCCTCCTGATAATGTGTCCAAAGTGTGTAAGACGAAGTCTCACCATCCTTGTTTCTAAAGGGCATCCTTGGCTTTACTTCTTCCAAGACATTGTTTTTCTGGAAGTCCATGGTAGTGTCAATATTCTTCACCAGAGGTTGCTGTTGTTGTTGTATGCTGTCTCGTTGGTTCTGACTTATAGCAACCATGTATAGGGTTTCTGAGGAGCACCACCAACCTTGTAGTGAGCAGCCAAGTGCTTATCCTACAATGCCACACCAGGACTCCAGGTTGCTGTTACTGTTTTTGTTGTTGTTAAGTGCCATCAAGTCGGTTCTGACTCAGCAACACTTTATAGGGTTTCCGAGGAGTGGATGGTGAGTTTGAACCATCAATATTGTGGTCCAAACCAACCTTGTGGTCCAGTGTTTCTCCTACAGCACCAACTTAGCAGGTTATTAATGTACTCAGAAAATCGTACTAACAACTGGTATGTATCATCAATGGATGCACATCCTTGGTAGAAGATGGGGGAAGGAGATTGTATAGTTGTGGGAAGTAAGGGTTAGGAATATTTTACCTCCAAAAAATGCCTCCAAAATGTCAATGTTTACCACCATCCTCTGTAACTTGGATGCACATATCTTGAGAATGGCTTATGGGTACATGTGGGGGAAATGTTGCTTTTATATTGTTAGTAGGAGTACCTCTAACCCATAGTTTTTATAAGTCTATCTCCTTAGTTTACAATTGGGCCAAGTGTAGAGATGGAAGGATGTATAATAACAATAGAAAAAGGGAGTGAATTATACTAACTCCTAGTCAGCACTTGTGGGAGCAGTCAAATGTAGAGATTACAGGAAGAGAGTAGCCTAGGAAACAGATTAAGAAAATATACTAAACTATTAACTTTTTGTTTGTTTGTTTTGTTTTATTTTGAATAATGTTTTATTGTGTTTTTGGTGAAGGTTTACACAGCAGTTTAATTTTCTATTCAACATTTTCTACACTAAATGTACAGTGACAATGGTTACATACTTCAAATGTGTAAACACTCTCATTATTTCCATTCTAGTGGTTCTGTTTCATTTAATCCAGTTTTCTTATCCCCCCCCCCCTTTACATTCTCATCTTTGTTTTAAAGTCATTGTTGACTGTTCCATCTCAGGTTGTTGATTTGTTGATTTGTTTTTTGTTTGTTTTAAGGAACACATTACCTATAGATGAGCCAATCTGCTATTTAGCTACAAGGAGACTTTTTTTAACAGGGATTATTTCAGTTCAAGTTTTTAAGAGAATGTCAGGGCACTAGTCTTAGGAAGTCCTCCAGTCTCAACAAGTCTAGTATGTATTGGTTCTTTTGTTTTTTTTTTTGTTTTAGGAATTTGAGGTTCTGTTCCACATTATCAGGGTCCATCTACTTTGGTCCTGACTAGAACAGTCAATAATGGTAGCTGGGTACCATCTAGTTCTTCTGATCTCAGAGTAGATGAAGCCAGGGTTTATAAACAAAACTATAGAGTTTTTGAGGAGTGACTGGTAAGTTTGAACCACTGACCTTTCAGTTCAAACCAACCTTGCAGCCCAATGCTTATCCTACAATGCCACACCAGGACTATGGTGGTGATGTGGCGGTGGTGTGCCCTGGAGTCAGTTCCAACTCATAGCGACCCTGTACAGGGTTTCCGAGGCTGTAAATCTTTATGGGAGCAGAAAGCCTCATCTTTCTCCCACGGAACAGCTGGTAGTTTCGAACTGCTGACCTTGAAGATCGCAGCCCGATTCGTAACCACTATGCTACCAGGACTATAACCCACTGGAATTTAGAGCCCATTTCAAGAACAGATTCGATGCATTAGACATTAGTGACCAAAGCCAGAAGAATTGTGGGATAACATCAAGAACATCATACATAAAGAAAACAAAAGCTTTTTTAAAAGACAGGAAAGAAAGAAAAAAATGGATTCTGAAATTTGCTCTTGAACATAGAAAAGCTAAAATGAATGGAAGAAATGATGAAGTAAAAGAGCTGAACAGAAAATTTCAAAGGGCAGCTCAAGAAGGCAAAGTAAAGTATTATAATGAAATGTGCAAAGACCAGGACTTAGAACACCAAGAGTGAAGAGAATGCTCATCATTTCTCAAACTGAATGAACTGAAGAAACACTTCAAGCCTTGTTTGCAATATTGAAGGATTCCATGGGCAAAATATTGAATGATACAATGATGGATTAAAAGAAGATGGAAGGAATACACAAAGTCACTCTACCATTTCAAGAGGTACCATATGATCAAGAACTGATGGTATTGAAGGAAGAATTTCAATCTGCAGTGAAAGCACTGGTGAAAAACAAGACCTCAAGAATTGACAGAATACAAATTGAAATGTTTCAACAAACTGGTACAGCACTGGAGGCCCTCACTCATCTATGGCAAGAAATTTGGAAGACAGCAACCTGGCCAACCAATTGGAAGAAATTCATATTTGTGCCCATTTCAAAGAAAGGTGACCCAACAAATTGTGAAAATCATCAGACAATATCATTAATATCACATGCTAATAACATTTTGCTGAAGATATTTCAGGAACAGTTACAGCAGTAGATCCACAGGGAGGTACCAGAAATTAAAGCTAGATTCAGAAGAAGGCATGGAACTAGGGAGATCACTGTTGACATCAAATGTATCTTGGTTGGAGGCAGAGAATACCAGAAAGATGCTTACTTATTGAGTATGCTTTATTGAGTATGCAAAGGCGTCCAATTATGTGAATTATAACAAACTATGGATAACGAGTATTCCAGAACACTTAATTGCGCTCATGAGGAACCTGTACATAGTCCAAAAGGCAATTGTTTGAATAGAGCAAGGGGATGCTGAATGGTTTAAAATCAGGAAAAGTGTGTTCTAGGGTTGTATCCTTTCACCATACTTATTCAATCTGTATACTTAGCACATAACCTGAGAAATTGGATTATACGAAGACAAACATGAAGACTCATTAACAACCTGAGATATGTAGATAGCACAACCTTGCTTACTGGAAGTGAAGAGGACTTGGAATATATACCAATGAAGATTTTTACAACTACAGCCTTCAGTATGGATTGCACCTCAGTGCAATGAAAATCCTAACAACTGAATGAGTAAGTAGCATCATAATGAACAGAGAAAGGATTGAAATTCTCTAAGACTTCATTTTGCCTGGATCCACAATCAGTGCTCATGGAAGCAGCAGTCAAGAAATCAAACAATGTACTGCATTAGGCAGATCTGCACATAAGACTCCTTTGAAATGTTCAAACACAAAGAAATCACTTTGAAGACTAAGGTGACCTCTCAAGCCATGGTATTTTCAATAACCTCATATGCATGTGGAGGTTAAGCAATGAATAAGGAAGACCAGAGAAGAATTGATGTATTTGAGTGATGGTGTCAGTGAAGAACATTAAAAGTATCATGGATGGCCAGGAGAACAAATAAATTTGTGTTGGAAGAAGTACAGCCAGAATGGGCTATAGAAGCAAAGATGGGGAAATTTTGTGTCTGGTACTTTGGATGTGTTTTCAAGAGTGACCAGTCCTGGAGAATGACATCATGCTTGGAAAAGTGGAGTGTCATTGAGAAAGAGGAAGGTGCCCCAACAAGATGGTTGACAGTGGCAGCGACAATGGGCTCAAACACAACAACTGTAAGGCTGGTGCAGGACTGGGCGGGGTTTTGTTCGTGTAGGATTGCTATGAGTCACAACCGACTCCACAGCCCCTAACAACATATTAAACTATAATGGCTTTGTAGTCTTTTACTGAATGAACATAGTTTTTTTACTTTTCTAAGCTTTATTTCTATTAAGTTTAAAAAAAAATAAAGCTTATTGGAGCCCTCAATTTTTAAGTGTGTAAAAATAACAAACTTAAAACTAACAGGTGGTAATTATTTGTGTTAGTTAAGTCACTAACACAAAAGAGTATATCCAGAGGAGAGAGGCTTTTCATCACTCATACCTATCTTTTCTTCTTTCAGGCCAATGAAATTCCAGCCCAGCTAACCAAAAATGAACCTATATTGCGTCTTCTCCGAAGTAAAGCAGCTCACAGGAAGACCTAACTTAGTTCCATACTTGATGGAAAAATAGAAACTTTAGTCTCATTGTTAAAAAAAAAAAAAAAAATGGGGGGGGTTTCAAATAATGTCGGAAACTCTTTTAAGAAAGAACATGCCCAAAATGCCCAGTCTGTGGGGCCCTGGCAGAAAATAGCTGTGTTTTGTGCATTGCGTTGAGAACAAAACAGCTCTGGTCCCCTTCCCCTCACCTTACCACGGACTTCTCACATTGGCCTGTAGCTCACTCCAGTGAGGTGGGGCCTGACCAGTTCATTAATGTCACAGAAGCTCATTTAAGCTATGCTAACATAGGTCTCTTAGTTAAACTCTAAGATGGACAAAGTTTTCAGTATTAGGCAAGGAGACAGGAAGCTTTATTCTTGCAAATGACTGGAAGTCTGACTTTTAAAAAAAATTGATGTACTTTTGTTTTTGTGTTAAATATATAGGTATACAAAAATATGTAGGTCCAACAACAACAACATCATATATATACATGTGGTGATGGTAGTGTGCTATATGCAGTTGGTTCTGACGCATAGCAACTCCGTATAGGATTTCCAAGGCTGTAAATCTTTATGGGAGCAGAAAGCTTCATCGTTCTGTTGTGAAATGCCTGGTCATTTCAAACTGCTGACCCCGAGGTTAGCAGCCTGACTCGTAATCACTACACTACCAGAGCTCTTAGTATATATATGAACTGACTCGACAACACTTAATAACAATAAAAACATATATATATACATTTCATTCCATGTAAAATGTTTTCTTCTACCCAAGGATCGTAGCTATAAGTATTACAAATTGGTGTGCAGGCATACATTGTTAAGAAGCCATTTCTGACATTCCACCATGTGATTTTCAAAGATGGGCTCTCAAACTCTTAAAAAAGACAAATTGTGTATTTCCTAAATGAGCCTCATAATATTCCTGATGTTTAAAAATCATTTTTACTTAGAGGCAACATTGTAGATATGTTAAGATACAAGTGGCAGATATGGAAATTTAGGAAATTACAAGCCTCAAGAAATTGAGGCTTGTCTCTTTCAGCTTTTATTTCGGATCTGCTGTTTGGGAATCATTTCTCATGCCATAAATAAGTAGACTTCATTTACTGAGAAATCCTAAACTTTAACACCACATTGCTTGATGCAATGACTTTGAGGTCCTTGGAAAATGTGATATATGCAAGGATAATGTGTCACTGTTGTTATTGTAGAACTATAAATAATTAAAGACTGCTAGTGTGGGGTTGTAGGATCAGCACTGGACTGCAAACTGCAAGGTCAGCATTTCAAATCCACCAGCTGCTCTTCAGAAATCCTATTCGGGGTTGCTATGAGCCAGAACCAATTCCACGGCACTTAACAACAACAACAACATACATAATAAAGGACTGTTACAATAGTATTTGGTAAGTATCCATCTATGCATGTTCCTGGACTGATTGTTCCCAAGAAAGAGACCTAGGTTTACTGAATTATTCTTTTGGGGAGATCAAAATTTATATTCAGTGCACTTTATTATCCATGGTGTCTAAATGCCTCAGTCAGTGCCTAATTGCACATGCAAAAACTAGACCTTCTTTCTCTTAAGCTACCATAGTAACAATGATGGTAATTCTGTTGTTAAAACATGCCTTTAATGTTCCCTTTGGAAGTGTAAATTATTATATATGCCTGAGTGGTTTTTTGTTTTGTTTTTTAAAAAGCTAAAGTGGATAGAGAGAAATACTGTTAACTGATGGTACATGGAGGGGATTAAAATCATTGTAATGAGGAAAAAAAAAAACATGCCTTTAGTTTTCTTGTCCACATTCTGCTCTAGGTTCCAGCCAGTGTTCTATATATGTACATCTTAAGAGAGAGAGAAATATTGTAATCCCAGATTTTTCTAAAAAGCTAATTTGCAGTTGTATTAATAAATTATTTTTGTCAGCAAATGATAGAGTATAATTTTTGAAATTAGAAAATATTCTCTTAAGATTCATTATGATAAATGCAATAAAAATTTTGATCAAGATCCCAATCAAAACCTGTTTTGCCCAAGAACTTTTTAGTATAATCAGTAATGAACAAACCATAGGGCTGCCTCCCCACAAAGTTGCCTATAGCCTGACTAGCTATGCAAAAAGCCTATGATTTAATTTCAGGGTGAAAAATCAGAAATTTTGTCTGTGTTTCTAAAACACCCAGGTAGAAATATTTGGTAGCTAAAAACAGTGCTGATTTCTTCACTGGCATCCTTTTATTAACGAAAGTTGTACAAACACAATTTCCCTCATGGGAATTCATTTATTTCAAGGAGAAAAATAACCGTGGCCTTAAATGCTTCATAGTCTTTGCCCTTAGTTGGCCCTTATGCAAACAAATGGTTGTTCTTCACTGATAAAAATTAAAACAGCACTATGGGTGGGTACTGATAACAAAGTCCAAAAGCAAAATGGGATAAGTCACAAACCCAATGCTTTCACTAAAACATGTTGCATTTGGCCTATCCCTTGTATTGTTTTAAGTGAATAATGTTCTTGAGTCATAGGGCAATAAAAAGGAATCCAGTAACTTTTAACAATATTTCATTGGAAACCCTCTTACTGTAGGCAAGAGATGTCTGGTTTAAAAGAATCACTTTTGATTTAGATGAGATTAGGATATAATCAATAGCAGGAAAGATGATTATATTAATAATCACCCACCAAAGATTGAACAAAAGGTCTGTTGTTTAAATTGTATTTGAGTTTGCATACAGGTAGACAACTCTTACTTTATGTTATAATCTAATTCACAATTCTGTTAGCTGTGTCCTAAGATTTAAAACTAGCAGTTCCTATGCAAATCGTGTGTTTAATTGAAGTATAAGTTTTTCATTACTTGACTTGTTTAATGACATGTTCCATGCTATAATTCAAAATAAAGTTAATAGAGTACCCAATTTGCCTGTGCTGCTTTTTTCTATGTTTTTAATTAAGAAGTTACTTCTCTGTGATTTTTGTTAGCTTTTTTATTTGAAATTGGGTGATAGTTTATAGAGCAAATCCATTTTCCATTCAACAATTCACATGCATTTTGTTTCATGCCATTGATTGCAATCCCCACAATGTAGCATCATTTATCCCAATCATACTCGATGTTTTTACCATCTTTATTCCTCCTTTCCTAACTCTCCCTGCCTTCAGAACCTTGTCCTTGGGCAAATGCTGCCCTTCTGATCTCAAATGGTTGATTGTTTTAGGGCCTGTGTACCTTCAGGTGTTCTGATTTACCTTTTAGGCCTTTCTGTTGTTTGGCTGAAAGGTGAGCCACAAGGGTGAGTTCAGTTCCAGACCTGATGGATGACTAAGGGCCAGAATCTTGGGGGTTCTGCCAGTTTCTATCTGACCCATAAGCTTTCTTTTTCCATGATTTTGAGTTTTGTTCCACATTTTCTCCCATTCTATCCAGGACCTTCTAATGTGATGTGGTCCATTAGTCCACTGGCCTTCTTGTTTCCATGTGCCTTTGATTTTCTTCACTCTTCTTTCCTCTGGACAGGGAGAGACCAGTAGTTTCACATTAAATGACTGGTCACAAACTTTTATGATCCCAGTTGTTATTCACCAGTGTAGGCTGTAGACCATTTTCTTTGTAGACCATGTTGTGCCAGTTGAACTTGAAGTCTCCTGAATCCAAAGTCCGGAGTCCCCAGCCCAGCTATTCATTCCCTTAAGGTGTTTGGTTATGGCTAGGAAGTTCTTATAACTGCCCCCTGTTGTTAAGTGCTGTCGAATCAGTTTAGATTCATAGCAACCCTATATAGGGTTTCCAAGGAGTGGCTGGTGAGTTTGACTGGCCTTGTGGTGAGCAGTCAAGTGCTAAATCTACAGATTCATGTATATGTGGGCACATATGTAAATACATACTCGTGTATAAATATCCTGTCGAACCTATATATCTACTCATGGGTGTTCTACCATCTGCTTTCTTACCTGTTCAGCTTACATGTCTTTGTATCCACTCAGAAATCTTTGTTATTATTATTATTGCAGGATTCTGTACATAATTGTTTTTGCTTAACTCTTACGTTTTTCTCAGTGTGTTCCTTTGCTTCATATTTTGTTGACTTCCCCTTTATTATACATTGTCTTTCCTTTCAACCAAGTTAATATGTGTCTACTTCCCATGCCTGCTAACCATCAAAAAGTCTTTCATTTTGTGTGAAAACCTTTCCTTCCGTTTTTATAATAAGTGTTCCCATATAGTATTTGGCCTTTTGTGGCTGATGGGTCAGAATCGATTCAATGGCAGTGGTTTGTTTATTTTAATTGCATTCAGCATAATGTCCTCCAGGTTCATCCATGTTAGGAGGTATTTCATAGATTCATCATTATTATTTAATGTTGCATAGTACTCTGTTGTACGTATTGTATGTATGTGCCATAGTTTATCCATTCATCTGTTGATGGGCATTTAGGTTCTCTTATTTTTTCTATTGTGAATAGTGCTGAAATGGACATTGTTGTTGTTGTTAAGTGCCTTCGAGTTGGTTCTGACTCATAGCAACCCAATATAGGCTTTCCAAGCAGCAGCTGGTGGGTTTGAACTGCTAGTGTTGTGATTCACAATCCAGTGCCGATCCTACAATGCCACACCAGGAACCTGGAATGAACATAGATGTGCATATATGTGCTCATGTCATGGCTCTTCTTTCTCTAGAACAGGGGTGGGGAACCATTTTTCTGCCAAAATTTATAACATCATTCGCGGGCCATACAAAATTATCAACGTAAAAATTAGCCTGCTATATTTGGTCAAACATTTAATTACCTTGCTCACCAGCTGTTCCTAGGAAACTCTGCATGGTTGCTATGGGTCAGAACCGACTTGTCAGCACTTAACAACAACAATGTGATGGCTGAAATGCGGTTGGCTTGGCGGGGCCAAACCAAATGATGTTGCCGGCCTTGTATGGTCCATGGGCCAGACATTTCCCACCCCTGCTCTAGAAAAAGTTCATGGAGGAATGGA